AATCTAAAAGAGCGTATCAATCTCATCAGTATCAGGGCAGAAATAGTAAGAAACAGATGTTCTGGCAGAAATATCTTACCAGTAACTCAATCAAAGAAGTTGCCTGTCGAAAACTCAGGCTCCCTGGAAAGAATGCAGGTACAAAGAGAGGGCTAGCATCTTGAGGTTTTCTCTTGAGGTTGAGGCAGACTTTACTTTTAGATTTGCTGGATAAGAATTGCTCTGTCTCTCTCTTCTGCTTTCTCTCCCATTTTTTTGGACTAGTTTTTGTCTTCTGCTTTCCACAAAAATAAGTGTATCTTAAGTCTACTTACTTCTGCTATAACTGAATATCTGAAAATAGGTTATTTATGAAGGTTTACTTAGCTCACAATTCTGGAGGGTGGGAAGTCCAGAACATCAGCATCTGGCGAGGGCCTAAATACACCACAACATGGAAGAGCACATCACACGGCAAGACAGAGCAAATGGGCCAACTAAGATCTGGGTCTCTCTTCCTCCTCCTATAAGAAAGTCACGTCTTCAGTCCTCATGGAGGCTCCACACTCAAGACCTCATCTAATGCTTATTACCTCTCAAAGGTCTCACCCTTCAAATATCACTAACATGAATTCAGAAATTAAATTTCTTTTTTTTTATGAGCAGAATATATTTATTGAGGGAAAGAAAGATACTGTCCGAGAGAAGAGCAGGAGGCGGGCCCGAGTGGGTAGTTCCCTGGGAAGCTGTCTCTTCCAGGGACTTTTACAGTGTAAAATCATGCGGAGCAAAGGTACAGAAAAGGGGAACTCGCTTAGGTGGATGTGGGGTGGGTCAAAACTATGGTCAACCAATGGGATTACGAGCACCATTGCTCAGGTAAAACTGATTAAATCCAGTACCAACATTTTAACAAAACTACATAAAGACAAAGCATAAGCAACTGTAAACAATTTTAACAGTATTATGAGACAAAACTGTATGAGACAAAGTATGAACAATTAATTATGAGCAATGGGTAAAGACATTAACATTTGAAGCATAAAAATTTGTTACCTAAGCAAGTCCCAATCCAGAATTTATGAAAGAAAAGCTAACTCAAACCTCCATCCAATGATCTCGGTGGAAACCTCCACAATGATACAGGGAGAAAAACTGATCTTGGGTGGGTGACCTCCAAACCATATAGGGAACCTCCAAATGACATAGGGAAAAACGATCTCCCTACCTGACCTGCACAAGTTTGTGTTCTCTAAAAGCGAACAATGAATTTTAGGAACAAATAGAAGTTATGAGCAGAATATATTTATTGAGGGAAAGAAAGTTCTTGTCCAAGAGAGGGACAGGAGGGAGGCCCAAGCAGATAGTTCCCCCCAGAAATTAAATTTCTAACACATGCATCTGTGGATGACACATTAAAAGTCTTAACAAAGTACATGAAAAGAATTGCTAGTGATGTTGGCAAATATCAAGGGATATGTAACTTTGATGACTGAGAGGTAAGAGGGAGGAGGAGAGTCAGTAGTAAGCTAAAAAGCAATTTCCTACTTTTAAAAGTCATTCTTCAGTCTCAGATAAATGTCACCAGTGTAGCTTTAAATTTAAGTATGGTCTAACTTTAAATATTCCAGAGAAGACAAAAATCTGGACTAAAGTTGCCTGGCTTTTAAATGTTATCAATAAATTTAATTGTCTTCTAAAATAAAGTGGGTCAGCTCACTGGCTGTTAAATTTTAATCCTACTACCTTACCATCTTTTTAAAACTTTCTGTATGTCTTACTTGCCTGGATTTGTTCAATATCTGTATATATAAGGCCAATGCAGTAACCAGATACATCAGGCAAATCACTGCCAAGATTGAACCATTTATTTTTCTATGTGCATATGATTTAAATTTCAATATTCCTCAGAGACACTCTAAAACCAATGTATTATTAATAAACATCTTATTAAATTCCACATCACGCCACCTATTCTGAAAGGCAGGAAAATAAACTCTTCAAAGTTAACTGGCTGAAAAATTATTCATAAATGTAAAGTCAGTTCTGTATCACATATGGCCTGAGGGTCTTTGGTTCTGCTACTCTGTCAGTCTGGAAGAGCAGCCATGTCTTCTTCTGCATACTTTTAACCTTCCTGATTATCCTCAACCTGTTCCCACCACCTTGAACCACAGGTGATCCATGCATGACACCCATGGGAACAGTATGGCCTTGTTGTAAATATGTTAACCCTTAGAGCTGACTATATACCTACTGATATCAAGGCTTTATTGTTATCTCAAAAACTAAAAACATCTTAAAACTAAGGCCCATACTAAGTTTAGGATCACATGTCCAGAGCTAAATATGACCAAACGGGCCATATGGCAGAATACTGAGAATCTGTTGTGATCAGAAGACCAACTACTTTCCAAACTGGATTCCATGTGCCTGGCATCTAATAGATGTTCATTAATTTACTCAAATAACCACAAAACAGTGATGATTCAATAGGCCTTCGCTCAAAAACAAATGTATCGTCTATGGCCATACCACACTGAATACGCCTCATCTCGTCAATGTTTCAACTGAAAGAATAGAACTAAGAGAATTTTATAAACACAAACATATAAATGTATGTTTTTCAGTTCACTGACATCACAGTTGTATGGTTCAACTTTGTTGACCTTATTTCTCTAAACCTTAATATTTTTATCTAATTATAGATAATGCTAAATATACTAGGTTATGAGAAATGAATAAATAATTCTAGAAAGTGCTAAATCCTGGCATGTGCCATACAGTTCATAAAAATGCAACCAATAAATGCTTTTTAGGAAACCAAAACTCTAAAGGCTCTTGCAAATAATGCTTTTAAATCCTAGACAGAAGTATGAAAAAGAAAATCATTCAACAAGTATACTTATATGGTCTACAGTCACTTAACTAATTTCTTAGATTTTATGCAACTACAATTTCTACCTAGCTTAGAGAAAAACTGGGTATATATAAAGAAAACAGGACACCACTATAAATTCATGCAAAGACTGCCATGTGTACTCAGGATGGCAACACAAAAACCTGTAGGCGAAAATTACGAGACAAATTTTGGCTCAGTGTTATGAAAAAATAATGCAAAATTTTCAAGTAACGTAAAAGCTAGCTATCCAACAACCTAGCTTTCCACGTAGAATAATGCCCCTCTACTGCCCACGGCCAGGTCTGCATTGCAATACTCACAACCTATGCATGACCAGAGAGAATTAAGACTGAAGATGGAATTAAGGTTATAAATCAACTGTTCTTGAGATGAGAATATCCTAGATTATCTAGGTCAGCCCAATATAATCAAAAAGATCGCCAGGAAGAAGGAAGGTGAAAGGCAATGAGGAGGGAAATGTAATGTGAGAAATACCAGCCCTGCCATTCCTGACTCTGAAAATGAAGGGGTCCCATGAGCCAGACTCTGAGAAAACTTTAGAAACTGGAAAGATACTCTTACCTAGAGCCTCCAGCAAAGAACAAAGTCCCTGTTAGATATCAAATGAGACCATTTTGGACTTCTGACCTCAAAAACTGGTAAGATAGTAAATCTGTGTGATTTTTCAGTCACTAATTTGTGGCAGCAGTGACAGAAAGGTAATACAGTTTGGCTTGGGATATAGTACTCTCTCTCTTACAGATGTTCAGTTAGACAAGTTGCTCAAGGTACATATCTGCACACAGGGGATGAGGAACCGGAAAAGGTCAAGATACATCAGACACGAGAAAATTCTTGAAACCATGCATTTTTTGGGGTAATCACATATGCTCTTTTTTTGTAAAGAGTGTTCAAAGATTTTCAAAAGGTTCCTTTATAAACAAAGCGAAGAATCTCTTGTTTTATTTCCAACACTGAGCTTTTAACATTCGTGATTTTTCTCACACCGTGTCTGAAAGTGGAGTTCATCAAACACCAAAATAAATGATCAAAACTCACCTAAGAATGTTTGTAAAATGCAGGTTCCCAAGCTCCATTTCAAACAGAATCTCTGGGAACTGTAGGAAAGTTCAATTTAACATTTAACTGCGAGATGGAAAGGTATACTACTATACATGCTGTTAAAAATCCACTACTCTAGGAGGTATTTTATGAAACATTACATAGAAGAGAATAAAATTATCTCCATCCTTCAATCTTGAGCAAACTTTAAGCATTTATCTTACTGTGTGACTGTGCCTTTTTTCCCCGTTGAGTCTGAGGCAACTCAGAACAAGTCAGCCATGCCTACCACAAATAATCTTTTAGATTAAAATTCATTCTGAGATGTGCCAAGAATGATGAGTAAATAAATTACACTAAAATTTGTTAGTTTTATTATCCATCTCCCACTCTCGCCTTGATTTCCTACCCAAGCCCAGCATGCCATTTTACACACTGTTTTGCGCCAATGTAATTACTAAATGGCAATTTTCTATAAATAACTTAGTATGATCCCTGTCCTAATTGTTACTCTTTCAAGCGAATGTTTTACTTGGAACATTCCCCCCGATTCCTAAGTCTGTGGTGTTTGAGATATTTACAAATTCTCTTGGAAATTACGTGTCATCAATAGGCGATATACGACCAGCCTCGAAGATCGTAGATCTCCCAAGAAGGAAAAACTTTGAATAAAAACGAATAGTAGCTTCTCAACCGAAGCAACCCTGAGCAGCTTTTCTCCGCTAGACACGCCTGACAACACGACAGGAACCTAACATGTGATGAGGTAAGGACAGGAAAGAAAAGTCTAAAAAACAGACCTCTCTCGATCCTTATCAAATAACCCAAATTCTAAAACAAGGTCACAAAGCCATATAAATCAGGGGCCAGGGTCCCAGCTTCCAAGACAACCCTTTGCAGCATAAAGTCAAGTTAGTGGACACCGACAAGGGAGAGGGCAAAGACAATTGGGAGACCCGGCAGCTCAAACCCAGACGCGGGGCGTCAATCAAGAAAGCCCCGGGCCCAGGCCCACTACTCAGCTACACAGGGAAATGGAGTGAGCGTGGGCACTCACCCCGCAGCCACTGTGTGCTGTGAAACCATTTCCAGTTAGGTCCACGGCCAGCAGAGCAGCCAACAGCGCCCTTTGCCAGCCCCAAGCTTCGCCGGCCGGCAAAGCCCAAGAGATAGCGCAGCAAAGACGGGTCACAGCCGAGCCTCCAGGAGGCCGCCATCTTCCCGGTCTTCTTGCAGGCTGCCCGCAGCACTGCCTGAGTTTTAGCTCCGAGGCCCCCAAGGCCACGCCTCCCCCATCAGGCTCCGCCCCTTTACCTCCCTCCCAGCCTATAAGTCTCAGGGAGAAGCTATTTTAGCACTGTTGACCACGCCTCCTAGCCGACCACCAATCAGCGATGCGTTCCTGGACCTCGCCTCCTGCTCGATCGGCCCCGCCTCCGGGCTGCCCATAGCGCCGCCTGAGTACGCGTGAGGCCTTGTAAGGTGACATACGCTGAGCTGTGCGGAGCAGGAGGCACTAGGCCGTTGTCGTCTGGGCCATGTCTGACTGCCGTGCTCCAGAGGGAAACTGTTGCTCGCAGCGGTGCGAAGCGCAGGTAGGGGCGGGCCCATGCGCGCCTCATTATCCGGGGTCGCAGGCCGGGCAGCGGGGCGGGGTCGCGGGTGGCGGGGCGGAGCCTAGCTAGTCCTCGCGCTGCAGTGGGAAACGGAAAAGTCCCAGCCTGGACCCTCTGGGGTCCTGATGAGCTCTCGCATCCGGGGTCTGAGCGGAAAGTAACGGAGAGAAGAGAGCATCTAGGCCACTTACGAGCATGTGTCTGGGAATACAGGCCGAAGGAGTACTCAGGCTCCGGGTGGAACTCGAGCGATCGCTGAAGGACTCAAGTTTACTTTCTGCACCCGAGTTTACTTTCTGCGACCTCTAACGTTGCTGTGCCCCGGGAACCAGCGTCCTGCATCCCTTGAGTTGCACCTTTCCTGCCCCCGCGTAGGTCATGACATACAGTTCTTTCTTAAAGCGGGCGTGCAGGAGCATCGCTGTGAGTTCCAGGCCAGCCTAAACTGCGGAGCAAAACTAGACAATTTAGACGACTAATTTCGGTATAATATAAGCCCTGCATAAGGGGCAGAGAAAGATCCTTTCTACAATAAACTCCCGTATTCCTTTCGCTACTCTGAGGACTGAAAGTCCCAAAAAGTCATAACACCCTAGAGATGTTATTTCTATGCGTCTGAATCATTATCTTGTTTTTAAAAGCGATTTGTTCACAATTAGCAGAGAGAACTCCAAAAATGGATAGACATTGGAAGGGGAAAAAATCTTGGATGTATAAGACTTACACGATTTGGGAGCCCTGGGGGCTTCTGTTAGAGCTATTTTTCTAGATCCTTCATCATGAACAAAGAACAAAAAAATGAGGTTTTACATTTAGTACTGGTACGAAAAGAAAACATCTTTTACGGAGTAGTTTAGGCCAATGAAAAGTAGAAATAAAGCTCCAGGTTGAGAGGAGAACACCAGCTAATCTGTTATCTCAGGACAGGTCACTGAGGCTCTTCACTAGGCACGAATGTCCAAATGGTGAGGAAAGTAAAAGCAACCTGTTGATAGAATCATTACTAAGGTGAAGGTAATTTCAAACAGTGATTCATGCAGGGCTTTATTGGTAATCTAGTCGATTTAGCTTGGCCAAGATTTTTAGAGGAAGACCTCAAAGAAGACACTAAGGCTACTCTTTACCCTGTCTTAAGAGATGACAACGCACAACTTCAGACTTTTGTTTTTCTGTATGGGATTAGCGGCCCCAGGTCCATGTCTGCTGTTCTGAGTGAAAACTAGAAATGTTTTGTATAAATCTCTTGATTTTAAAATTGTAAGCATTGCAAAGACAAAATAAACCACTTCCTGAGGGTCTGATTCAACCTTCAGGTTCTTGGTTTGTAACCTTTGAGATAGAAATTTTCTTAATGTGAAAGATATGTTCTTAATAATTCACCCAATCTTTATTGAATAAAGCAGTGTGGTGGGTATAACTTGCCAAGAGCATGTTCCTTATCCTGCAGAGAGCTGTGCTTAGCTGGGGAGAAAAACCAGACAAAGACTATTTCTTTTTTTAACTTAACTGACACAGTGCGTTGTGTATAGGGACCCCAAATAAATATTTGATCTTTGGTATTAGATGTAACTACAACCTGAGGCCATTCAAATCCCTGCTCTGTTTTCTTGCTGTTAATAGTTCCATCAATCTTTGTCACTAAGGGAGGGACATAGACACCCTGCCCAACTTTACTCCCTCCCCACACTTCTTTTTCTGCTCCTGTAGTGCTTTGTCCTTTAGGGTTCACTAGAGGAACAGGCTTAATATAAAATAGATACCATCCAAAGGTGATGGCAAAGATGGGAGCCTTCTGAAGAAGCAGAAACAGGATTTCCTTCTTTTTTCCCTGTGTAGTCCATCCAGGCTGTAATCCTGATTGTTGGTACCACCCACATCCAGGGTGGGTCTTCTGTCTGCAATAAGTCAGTCATCTGAACATCCCCAGAAACAGTCTCGTAGGCATTTCTTATTGAAGTTGACACCACAGTTAACTAGCCCAGTTCCACCAGTGGACTCTGTCAGAAGATTTTCTGTACTGTATGACAGGGGCCTGCTCCTGAATACCTCTCATCCGGGCTACTGAGAACCCAAAGGAAAAAGGGTTTACTCAACTGCACAACTTGGTGTCTCTGTAAGTGTCATAGTATCCTCTCGAAGCTAGTGAGCACCACATGGCAGTGCTCTGGGGAACTTCCTTCACATTCCCTTAAGGGATTATTCCAAAATCTTATTATCTTGCCTTGTCCTCTTATCTAAAGGCTATTTCTCAGATGATATTGTCTCCCATATTACAAAGCAGATGAAGGATAACAGGTGTGAACTTTTCAACTTTAGTGTATTCTTCCCAACTGCAGTGGTCCCTCACTTATCACGGAGGTTACGTTCCAGACACCCTGCGATAAATGAAAACCAGTGATGTTATATTTATTTTAATATTTAAATGTATTTTAAGGCTTTATAAACCCACACTCTTATAAACCTTTCCCACACTTTAAAAAACACTTCTAATGTTCTTAGCCATTTTCTAAACTCGTAAACCTACATCATTTTAACAACATACCTATACTATAGAGTAGTGCAAAAATCTCACAATATAGCAAAAAAACTCATGATAAATAATTTAAATTAATATTTTTTGAAAACCCGTGAAATAGTCCACAAAAGTCTCATTAGTTCTCATTAGTAGTCTCTGCAAAATAGTGAAGGACTACTATACAGAATAATACAGTTTAAGGACTAGGGATCTAGACTAGTACTGCCTGTGCTCAAATCCTGGTCTTGCCACTTGCTGTCTAGAGAATCTTGGTCAAGCTACTTTATCTTTCTTGGCATAATAGGATTGTTATAAGGATAAAGTGAAGTAGGCCGTGTAAACCCTTTATAGTGGTATCTGACAGAAATAAACAATAGGTGGTAGCAGTTCTTGTCAGTGGTATTTTTATATCTTTATTTTATCCTTCATCTTGTTTAAGGCAGTTAGTTCTATTTTCCTAGTTGTATTTTTTTCTGCAAAGGTTGTAGTGTCTGCACAGACTGACCTGTTTATTAAGCCTCTGCTTTCTTATACCACTGATTTCTTACTGTCCCCTAATCATACCCACTATGGTTTGAGTGTTGAATGTCCCTGTTTTTTAAAGTCTTGGTCCCAATGTGGCCCCATCGGGAAGTCCTAGTACTTTTAGGAGGTGAGAGCTAATGAGAGGTCCTTGGGTCATGGAGAAGATGTCCCCAAAGAGATGCTGGCTCTTTCCTCTTCTGTTTTGTTTCCTGGCTATGAAGTAAACAGTGTACACCACCACACACTCCCTGTTGTTGCCCGCCAGCACCCCTCAGCAAAAGCCTAAAAACCATGAGTTCACCTAATAATGGACTATACCCTAAAACCATGAGCCAAAATAGCCCTCTTGTTAATCTCAATGTCTTAATATGGAGCGGACCAGCACTACATACAATAGAAAATTCTCTTCGCAATGTTGAAAGGGTCATTGTCATTCCCTGCCTCCAAGCTTGATTCACTTCGAAATGGAAGTCTGTGATATTCACAGTGATGTAGCTTCAAAGCCCAAGCAACAGTAGTCTTTTAAGGTTTTGGTTGACTTAGCTTGCAAATGTGGGCCTAGCAAAACCCTTAGCAAGGGTGAACTCTTGTTGCCTACCTTCCTTGTGGCTTTCCTGAGCAACTAAGCAGTGCCTTAGAGTTTGCAACAATGCTGTGAGGCCTCACTCCATACTCATGAGTTCAACCTCAAAGTACAAATTGACACTGCCAACAACCCGCTTCCCTAGTATTGGAACTCTCTAAGGTCCCACTTTCCTAAAGATTATTTCACACATTCATTCTCCTGTCATACCTCTAATAGCAGGTCCCCTCTACCATTCAGCTCATGTCTTTGCTCATGTCTTTTGCTTAAACTTAATAGAAGTCATTAGATCTGAGAAGTCATTTGCCTTTCTAGCACAAAACCAGTCAGCTTGGAAATGAATCCCACTTCTCATTTTATAAAATGGAAGCAACTCCCCCCCTCCCCTAATCCTCAGCATCGTTGGGCCATTCTCCTAAAGTTGCTTCTCTCCCTCTCTTGTCCGTCTTACCATTGGTCAGTTCCTTTCTCATCTGCACAGCTCTCACACCGGTGTGCCTCGGCCCCTGGAAAGCCCTTGTCCTCTGCCTTCTGTAGTCATCACTCTGCCTTAGCCAAGGAGTCTTCTAGCCTTCAGGTGCTTTCTCGCTCCAAGTTTTCACACCTGCTCTCTACTCTGCGTCAAGCAATTGCCTCTCCCCAGGACAAAAGTGTAAATGCACATACATTCATCACATGTTGGTTTTTTCATATTCTTTGTGTCTTAAATTAAATGCCACCTGCTCAGAGAGCCCTTGTTCATTGACTACCTTAATGAAAGTTGAATCCTGCTATTTTTCTGTAAGCTCCTTATTTCCTCCCTACTACTTACTGTAATGTATTATTTTTACTGTAAAATTCATATTTTTTATTCTTATTTATTTTTTCCATAATTTTCTTGATAAACAAATAGCAATGAGAGAGTTTCAAATCAAATTGGTAAGACAGTTTCAATAATTAACACATTACATACATTCCTCCGAGTGGTTAATTGATGTACAAGATGCGGACATGATATCCTATCTACAAACACCATTAGAACAAATCACTCTATTCATTAAGAGAATGTAACTATATATCTATCCTAACCACTCTGAATACACAGATACAAAATGGACATTCATCTGTATACCCTTCTTTTGTTAAGTTCCATTATTTGAATATTATAGGTGTGTTAACTCAGCAAAATAATCTAAAAGAGTTCAGTTGCCCATAATAGTATTGGGTCTTCTGCTTCACTGGCAATGTGAGAAATGGTTGAGCTGAGTCCCCTACAGCTCAACATAACAGCATGGCTTTACTTCTTATACTTCATTTTTATAATTTTATGCTGGATGGTTAAGATCAAGGTAAAGCAGGACCTATGCAACAAGAGTT